CCACACATAGCCTTATCTCTCCCTTATTCTCTTGGCTGAAAGCCTTAGCTTTTTTTTTTTTTTTTTTTTTTTTTGAGATTAACAAGAATCAAATCAGATGCTGTGGTTGGAGACTAACAATCAACTGGGGTGGGAGGCCTGTTTATACCAATTGCCAATTCCATGATGCATAGATCTCCATCTGCCCATTTCAAGCTACCAAAGTCAGTTAGCTTAAAATTCCTGAAAATTTAACCATGGAGTCTATTTAACCAGCCAATATGCATCAAATCCAGCACATTTCAGGAAACTACAACCTCCATCAACTACCATCTTATACACCAATTCCCAAAATTGTATCTTCCTGAACTCCAGAATTAACTGGATTTCCAAGTGTATACATAACATCTTCTCTTAGATGTCTATTGGACACCTGAAGTTTAATATGTTGACCAACATATGTGGAACCCATGAGAATGGTAGTTGCACTTTATTACTTCAGCATAAGAGTTTTAAAAGAAATTCATGGTTCTGTTTTATAAAGTTAGTCCTTTCCCAGTATATATATATTTTTTTAATCTCAGGAACACCTCCCCCTTCATCTACTCAGCTAGTGAAGAATTAAGAAGACTTATTCTTGCTTCCTGTCTTTCCCTCACTTCCCTAAGTCATCCAATGTAGAGCAAACACTCTCGTTCCTCTGCTTTGGGCAATTTGGGTGTCTGTGCCCCTCTCCAGCTCAGCTCTTCTCCCTGTGGTAGACTAAATAAAATCTCTCCAATATGTTCACACCCCAAGCCCTTTATGTGTGGTTAAATTAAGGATACTGAGGTGCGGAGGTTGTCCTGTATTATTTTGGTGAGCTCAGTGTAGTCACAAGGGTCCATATCAAAGGGAGGCAGGGGGACCAGAAAAAGAGAAGATGTAAAGGATGGAAGCAGAGAGCCCAGGGTGAAGAGCTGTTACTCTGCTGATTGCCTTTGAAGATGGAGGAAGGAACAATGAACCAATGCATGCAGCCTCCAAAAGCTGCAAAGGTGAAGAAAACAGATTCCCCCTACAGCCTGCAGTAGGAATGCAAGCATGCCAACATCTTGATTTTAGCCCAGAGAAATGGATCTTAAAATTTTGGGAGTCTGCAAACTATACATTTATATTATTTCCCCACTAGATTGTTAAACTCCATAGTGAGAACCTTGGTGTGTTATGGGAAATATTTCACACCTATAGTGGTACACACTGTCATTGGGCCACAGAAAGGGCAGGTGTAGCCAGGGATCGCTGGTCATTGGAAATGACATTTTAGCTGGTATTTGCATTTCTTTTGGGGGGGTTGGAAAGATTTTCTGTGTTGTACGAGGTTCTCCTCTCACTTCTTAAAGAGATGGATGGGATGGTAGATATAGAATTAATTGAGTCTAGGCAGGGCAAATTGTAAGTTCACATATTTTCAAATGCTCTGTTTTCATTTGCTCTTTTAATTTTGTGTTTTCTTGTCAAGAAATTCTACATCACCTGAGAAATATGAATGTCAGAACAACTGATTTTCAACAAATTGCCATATGAAAAATTGAGTATTATTGTAAAGGAACTCTAGCAGGCGTTTTGCCAGTAGAGGGGGTATAGCTCAGTGGTAGAGCATTTGACTGCAGATCAAGAGGTCCCCGGTTCAAATCCGGGTGCCCCCTTCCGTAGCTGCAAGTTTTTAACAGGTATTGAGATTTTAACATCAAGATATCCCTATTGCTAAGCAAATGGCGTTTCACTAGTCTCTTCTTTCTTCCTCATTTTCCACATGCAAAACATTCTCCATGTCTTAGAAATACCAAACACTCAGAGATAAACAACAGAGAAGTCTAACCACATCAAAGCATATACCCTGACCCAGTAACAAGAAGCCCTTTTTTATTTTAGAGTCAACAATGCATTTTATTATATATCTTACACTTAAACATTTTACATATGCTTTTAAAATTGCAATTTACAGTTAAATACAAAACAAAAACAGCAACCAACCACCAACAACAAAAAACATAGCAGCAGAGGCTCTCAGGCACAAAATTTAGGAGACTCCAGCAAGTTTTTCCCTTAGCATATTGGAATGTTTCCTTTCCATTAACCTGCCTTTTTGATTGAATTTCACTATAATAATACCTTTATCTTTAGTAGGTATGATACTGCTAATTGGAAACAAGATTTAAAAATAAGCTTATAAACTGTTATTTTGGCGAAGTCTTAAGACCTAAATGATGACTTTTCTCCTAATAGAATGCCAAGATCATCCAGTTAAAAAAAAATCTATTGTCCATAAAATATCTGAAGAGCCACGCCCATGTTATTTCAAGTCTTTAGGCCTTACAGGATGGATGGATTTCTTAATAGGATGGATTTCCTTTCAGTGACCCTGTAAGGTACTTTCCTCAGTCATAAGCTTCCTCCTCGGAGTCTCCATTACTGGCCTAACAGTCTACCCTGTGAGAGGCTTGTATAGGCTGAAGCCCAGTGGCTTGCCCATCTTCACTGCAACTTGGTTCCATACCCTTACCAAGTGATCAACAAAAACTATCTACTCTTTCTTTCTAAAATCTCCATAAATTTAGTAACCAAACTAAGGCATCAAATTTCTGGGGTACCAGAACTGTGATACTCCTGAGTCATTCTTCCCTGACTACCTGCTTTATCTATAATATAAACCATTCACTTTTATCCAGGTGTCTCTGCAACCATGAACCTCTCCAGAAACCTATGTTACTGTAAGTGCAAACAAGTTAATACTGAAGCAGAACAGGTCACAGTATATGAAGGGCAGGAGCATGGCCACAGAGCGCCCCATTCTAACTAACCCTCCTATACTCTTAATATCCAGAAGGAATGCATGAAGCCATTAACTACATTTCCCTTTTGGGTAAAAACTGCACATAAGAGCAGGGCAGGGCGGTATTATTTTGCCTAGTTCATGCTTGACCAGAAGACTAGAAGAACAAATCCACATTTATGTAGTTTCTCAGAGTTTATCAGGACACGGCACAGGTAAAAGCTAGAAGGTGGAAAGTGGATAGCTTCTTTGGGCTGAGAGCTTATAGATGATAAATTTGAAGCCTGCTGTCCATAAGAGGTTATACCTTGGGTCTGGGCTTTCCATAGGACAGCAGGTCTGTTCAGCCTCCAAGGCCAGTCTGGAGACAGTAATGAGAACCATGGAGAAAAATGTGCTCCAGTAATCCCCTGGGGCTCCCAGGATGACACAATGAGATTCCAAGTTTAAAATATCGCAGCTGCCCCCTGACCCAGGCAGCTTGCCTTGCTCTTTTTCCTTTATTTTTCCTTTTTTTGGGCAAAATTTAGTCAAGGGCGACACCCTTGCTCCCTTTATCCTTATATTCTTCTTCTGCCTAAGAGAGATACTGTCAGTCACCCAGTCAATAGACGTGGGTTCCTACCTGTAGGCTATGAAACACCTTTGCCTTGTGTACGATTCTATGCTCAACAGTATCATCAGGGTATTGGTTAGAAATGCATACTCTCTGGGTCCTACCAGAGGCCTACAGAATCAGAAACTGGGGTCATTTTAACAGGCCCTCCAGGTAATTCTGAAACACAGCATTAGTTTTCATCAGTTTGCATAGGGAGGTAACTTTATTTTTGAAAATGAAAATGAGTTTATGGATGTACATTGGCCATTTTAACATTCTCGAAGCTTTCACTCTACACTTGTGTCATGAGCAATAAGGAAAGGTGGACACAGCGATTCTGGGTTAGCCGTAATAAAGAAAGTTGAAATTGGAGAAGGGCTGTATCGGTGGGGTTCTCTCTTCTGATCCTCCAGAGAAAGTGACACTGAACACCAGCTTGGGGGTATCTCTCAAATCCCTTCAATCTAGGGCATCAACTAACTACCAGGCCTGAGGTTGTGGGCGATGGGTCCTCTGGCTCTGGAAACAGGACGCAGAGCTTTCATCTGATTTGTGCCTGTACCATGCTTTCTCTTTTTAAAGACTATAAATGAAAGTCCAAAGTTTTTTTCTTTATGGCTGGGAAAGGAGAAAGACTTTCAAACATGTTTTTTCTGAATGTAGAATTCATGGTTAAAATACAAACGGTGAAAACGACTCTTGTGCTTCCTAAGGAGGGGAGGAAAAACCACCGAGGGGGCACCCGGATTTGAACCAGGGACCTCTTGATCTGCAGTCAAATGCTCTACCACTGAGCTATACCCCCGCACCGTGACTGTAGCTAGAGACGACTCTTCTCAGTACTAGGACCCTGCTGCATTGAGGTGGGAAGCAAAGGTAAGGAGAAAGGACTGAAAGGGAAAAAGGGGGCCAGCCGAAAGCAGAGGTGCCCAGATCGGGGGAACCTCGAAGACAACTGCACTCCGCGGCGCGGGAAGGGCGAAACAAGCCGGGACTTCGAGGCACTGAGTCCGGGAGGAAGGGTCCAGTTCCGCCCTACAAAAGTAGCAAAGGATGGGGGTGCGAGGGGAGTGAAGGGAAGCTAACTGAGGGGCGGGGCAGGGCGTTTCCCTTTAGGTCCCCAGGTTCAAGTCGGGTATTGTCGGGTACAAAGGAAAGCCCCGAATCCGGTAAATCTGCCCTAGCGTTCAGGAGGGGCGCAGCCCACTCTCCACGGGTGCAAGAGGCCACTAGCCTTCCGCAGCCGGGCGCCCCAGATGTGCGGCCAGAGCTGCTCTGCCGTCGCTTCCAGCGTGGGAAGGGTCCGGGGCGAAGCCGGCCGTCCGCGCCCAGCTAGACGCGCCCCTCCCGCACTTACGGCTTGGGAGCGCCGGGGCGCGGGGTGCGCTAGACGCACCTAGGCGCGCTCCCCCC